TAGATTATGTCAATTTGTTGATTTTTACAATTCTTGTTGAAGATTTGTTTATAGGTGGTTCTCATTGTTTTGAGATCCTGGATCTATTGGAGAATATTTGTTGGATTGAGTGGTCTTGTGATTGGATTAATTATGATATTATATCAAGTATAAAGCTTCTTAAGAATAGTGTCTATTTTTGTTTCGATAGTATCTGTGAGAGGATCATTATCTATTAGTTGTTTGCTTAAAGAGTAGAGTTTGGAGAGTTTTTGTAATATATATGTTGATGGTTTGGGGGCCACATCTTTTATTAACATATATACTGTACAGATTTTACGGATACAATGGCAGATGTTTATCAGATCACTATTAAGGAATCTATACAAACCCCCTTTTTTACATATTTGTCAACAAGTAATTATACATATTTGGAAGTAAACCTATCTATATGAGTAGCTATATCTATTCTACTTCTATATACAACTTCTACCTATTTGGAAAGATATGCGATTCCTTCTTAATTATTCCCGGAATTATTTTATTTACTGTAAGAGTAGTCTGGTTATTAGGCTGTCGAATTTTCTTTATCCTAAACTTCTCAGTATTTTAAGTCCTTCGGAGTGATCCATGAATTTCTCCTCCCACCAAGACCTCCTGATAGTCAAGTCTGGGAAACCCAGCACAGCCACATACTTGAATTCTTGAATGGATGCCTCAATACTAAGGCAAGAAACTGGGAGTTGTTTTCATTTGATTTACCATTCCTTTTTTTAGTAATATGCTACTGGTTCAATATCTACTCTTATTATTATCCTTATTCGGTAATACAGCCGTGTCAAGGGATAATCTTACTTGATTTCGGACATTCAGCCTTATCACAATCCATATATAGACCAGCTTGTATCACATAGGAGCTCCAGTCAACTGTTGAGACAAGCTATACATGGAAACATCAATTATGTACAGTTACGCCAATGGATACAGATCATTACCTGCTTTTCAGAGGTTGCCCCCTGGAGGATTTGATTGTAATTCTTGTGATTTGACCTACGGAGTGCTAATAACTGCACTATAGACCCATAGGTCTTTGCTGAATTTTAAATGAATAGTTAATAAATCTTTAATATATAATTTAATAAATTATTAATAAATTTTTAATAAATAGTTTTGATGAATAGTTGATGAATGGTTGATAAATGGTTAATTAATAGTTAACGAATGGTTAATGAATGGTTGACAAATAGTTGACAAATAGTTAACAAATAATTGATGAATAGTTGACAAATAGTTGATGAATGGTTAACGAATGGTTAATGAATTTTTGATAAATAGTTACAAATATAGTTGTCAAATAGTTGATGAATAGTGAAAGAATAGTTGATGAATTTTTGACAAATTTTTAATGAATAGTTTTGATTGATAGTTGACAAATTGTTAATATGCCAATTTTTGTAGTTATAAATTTATTTATATTATTTTTTTTGCTGAATTGTTTATTTTTTGCTGATTGTTACATGAGTGGTAGTATTTTTTGTCAAATGTTACATGAGTAGCAGTATGTCAAATAATTTTTTTTCGACTAGTGATCTGCTTTGCTTTATTCATAATAGGATATATATGTGAATTGATATTATTGTCATATTGTTGTATTGTATTATAAATAGTTATGTGAGCAGATTAATATGTGTTCTTAGTGCTATTTTAGTAATTGTTGATGAGCTTTTACATATAATGCTTATTGTTTTTAACTATAACCTTGTTTTTGTATATATTTTAATCTTGTTTTGATTAGGCTGTGTCATTTCTCTTTTTTTGCTTAGGTTGTTTACCTGTTTATGCTAACTTTGTTATGTTTTTTATAAACTTCTGATACTATGTTTATGTTGATCACTTTCTGTTGTGATAGTTGTGTTTAATGATCTTAACAATTTAAGTTAACTTGTTATGCTATTGTGATAAACTTTTATCAAACTTGTTTTGACAATAGCTTTATACACTTGTACATATTTGTGTTACTCTAATGATATGTTTTGGTGTGTGTGGTGATGGGTATATATACATTAGGCTGTTTTGACCTTGAGGAGCTTTAATATTCTTCTGGGTCTTAAAAAATTTGAGATTTGCTTGATTTATCGAGCAAACTTATTTGCTTTAGGATTCTTTGTAGTATCAAAAAAGGTGTTAATATGTACTGACCTGGCTGCAAGCTCTGTGAAGTTGATATTAGCTCCCTTTTTTTGACTATGAATCAGTTTATGCTGACTTATTTCCTTCTCTTTGGTAAAGAAAATATAGTCAAGGTTATGCTTTATATTGTGTTTTCCTCAGTGATCACTAGACTAGAACTATATACGAAGTGTTGTTTTCTGTGCTAATATGTCTACTGTGTATTGGTGTTGTAAGAGAATATGTGTCTTAAATTATGTGTGTTATCTTTTTCCTTGAGTATATTACCTAAAAAGAAAATTTTTAAGGATCTGAGGGATTTGCTGCTAAAAAAATACTTTTATTTTTCTTTTTTCTTTTTCTCATATATATACATTTATGTATTTTAGATATTCCTCTTTCTTTTATTTTTCTTTTCTCTATTATAATTTCTAGAAATCAGTTTTTTGAAAAATAATTAGCAGTGGAAACCTATTAACAATGATGAATAAGTTAGAAGAATCTTTATCCAAAACTTATTCTGAAGTGAAATATTGTTCCCAAGATCACATTTAGAAGCCTGAAGCTTATTTAAGTATTAAAAACTTATAACAAGTGAGTCAGCATAAGATTTAGTTTAACCATGATATATTTTTCCAATATATCATAAGTAGTTTTGTTATTTATAATTAATAAACACATTATGTTAACCTAACTATGGATTTTAAAATAAAAATAAATATTTAAATTCAGAATAAAAAAAAAATATCCCAAATTATTTTAAATAAAAAAAATTATTAGAAAATTTTAAATAATATTTTTGTTACTTTTAAAAATAACTATTCATATTTTTATTAAATTATATATATATATATATTTTTTGCCTGCAATCATATCACAATAGTATGTCTTTATTGAGATATTAAAAGATACTATAATATTTAAGACTTTTACAAAGTGACCAACTTATCATTATACATTATTAGTTAAAGAACTATACTACTTAAAAAATAGAAGAAGTTCACTAAGCTAGTTTGGACTAAACAAAATTAAGCCTAAACTAGGTACTCTAAGTCAGATTTTAGAGTCAATATTATACTCTCCTAGTAGCTTGCCATTAGCCTCTAAGTTAATCAGAATCATTACCAACAGTTTGTCATTGTTGATTATTTCAAAAAATAATGAATTACTAAAGTTGGCATTGAGAAAAAAGGGGAAAAAGAAATATAATTCAAAGTTCTTCAAAAGATTCTTGCACTATTTCATAGTTTCCTCTTGAAAGGGGTTTGTCTGATTGGAATATTCTTTAAGTTTCATGATGTTTGAGGAACTTAACTATTCCTGAAAGTAACTTCAAAAAAATATTTAAGAAACTTATCCTTCTACCAATATATAGATTTGTTTAATACTATTGAAGCCAGTACAATATTATGGAAGAGTTTGCTTGACCAGGATAAAGAAAATTTTTTAAAAACTTTGCTTGACCAGAATAAAAGCTTGAAAATCTCAGCTTTTGTTCAAGAAAATCTTTTCACTATCTGAGAAACTTAATGAAAGATGGGAGTAGGATTTTCTTTTCCTATCTGTTGCTTGCCTTTCGATATTATAATTGTTTCCTGAAAGTTGAATATATACGATTAAAGAGAACGCTTTTTATAGAACTTTCTTTTCTACATTATCAATAATGTATCGAAACACATAAGTATGATCAATAGGAGCTTATTTATATTTCAAAAACTGATATGTTTCATATCAGCCAATCATCTTTAGTGAAAATTTGTGCTACCCAAAATTCAGGATCAAATTGAAGTAGACAAAATTCTCCAGAAAACTGAAAATGGGAGCTCTAAGAGAGTCAAGACAGTCAAAAAGGTAAAAAATAAATCTTTTTACTATAAAAAACTCTATAAATCTCTTGCTTCAAAGATTAGAAAGATCTTTAGGTATTTTATAGTTAGTTCTTCTTTCTTTGAGAACTTTCTTGCTATTGATATCAAAGGTATTACTTGACTTTTCTTGAATACTAGAAGTCAAGTTTTTGAGTAAAAAGGTTTATAAACAATAGAGAAAGGATAAAAGTAACTCTTGAAGTCATACTTCAAGTTGTTTTAAGAAAAATATAAGACTTTATTAACAAGGAAGTATAAAAACTTCTTGTGAGCATCTTTTTTGTATGTGATTAAAGGATCAACAGAAATTTTTATTAAATTATCTTTTTATATCTTATATTTTAATTCTTTTATATAACAAAATCAATCAATATAGCCTTATAGAAAATATAAGTACAGAAAAACTCTTTCCACTGATTATTTAACTACACACAAAAAAGATGTTTGCAAGAAGTTTTCATATTTCTAAGTTAATAAAGTTTTACCACTTTCCTTAAACCAACTTAAAGAAGCTTCAAGAGTCATCAATTACTTTTCCTTCTCTTGCTTACTATTCTCTTCAAACAAAAACTTGATCTATAATGATCATAAAGTTCAAGAAACACCTTTTCTATCAATGGCAAAAAAGATCTAAAGAAAAGAAGAACTAATGTGCATTATTTCACACTATAGAGAAATATTACAAAAGTGTGTTCTTGATAAGAAACAACTTTTCTACTCTCTTGTTATCTGTTATCTTCTCATAGTATTTGTTCTTGATTTTTTCTGGGAAATTTTGCCTACTTCAGTTTGATCCTAAATTTTGAGTAGTACAAAGTTTCTCATACTGTGATTGAATAGATAGAGCTCATATTAGTAAAAGAAGTAAACAAGTTTCTATTGATTACTTCACACGTTCAAATACATTCTTTAGCTCCATAAGAACCTGGGGTCCATCATAAATTATTATATCTAATGCGAATGAATAATGAATATTGTTAACTCCTATATCTTTAACTAAGTAAAAGAGAAAGAACATATTTTTTCTTTTTTTTTTATCAAGAAAGAAAAAGGAAGATTAGGCTTAAAGGAATATAGAACAAGGATGATATTCTAAAGGCATTATGTCTATTATTTATTAGTATGATTATTGGGAGATCAGGGAGATTTTAGGATCATTCACACCTAATCAACAATATAAACATGCAATCAAATGACCTCAAATGGCTGAAGAATATATCACAATGGAACACTAGACAATAGTTTAATCTCTACAGATGATAGTACTTTGAGAAAAACAGTATGATACTTGTCAGGCCGACAAAAACATATACTGAAAGAAACAAGTCTTTTCTTTCTAGGCTGGAGGTTTTGTGATTCCCAGTACCTTTTTACTTACATTTTAGAACCCTTTGAATCTCTGACTTATCATCACCCAGAAGAACATCAATAGAAGATCTCATACTGAATAGAATATGGAAGGAAAAGGCAAAGAACTGATAGATAAAGATCACAATATAGAGGTACTGAAAACAATGAAAAAACAGGTATTGCACACTGAACTAATGAAGCCCTTGAAAAGTAATCTGTCTACAGTATCAATATGGTAATAGTAGCATATTTTCAAGTTACCTATAACTAAACCATTTCCCCTCTTTCTTCCAATACCTTTTTTATAATGCAAAATCTTTATCCCTGTTTAAATTTATATAGTCTTAACTTTATTTTTCTTTTTTAAATAGAGATAGCAGAGTAAGGTATCAAATATAATAGCAAAACAGATCAAATGGTCTGTAGTAGATATAGATTCATTACACATACTAACCCCTCTAAGAAATTTTATTACACTAATGGTCCTTTTATTAGGTTTCTGTCCGGATATGACCCAATATAAAGTGGTTTTTAACATATTATTAGTTTACTAACTTTCTATTGATTTCTTCTGGCTAAATGTATTTATATAGTAAAACTTTACTAATAAACTTGGTCAAACCAACATTAAAAAAAAAAAAATTAATTAATTCTTTTATATACTTGATGATAAATATTTTTATAACTTTATTATTCATTATTTTATTTTATTTTTATTTTTTTTATAATATTTCAGGTTTATTATTTCTATAATTAAATCATTTTTTATAAGATTTATACAAAAGTTTGAATAGCTTGACTAGTTTTTAAGACCTGTTTTATTAGTTTAGGAATTTATTTATTAAGTTTTTTTAATTTTTTTTATATTTATAATCAATTTTGAGTTCTTTTTTTTACTTTATTTTTTTTCTTGTAAAAACTTTTTAAAGTTTCTAAAAATTTTAATTTGGTTTATTAATATATACAATATATTTTACTTTTTATATAAATTGAATTTTTTATATCAATTTATTTAATATTGATAGTCATAATTAATTAATTTAAAAACTTTTACTACTTATTCTTTGACTATACACAAAAAAGATGTTCGCAAGAAGTTTTTATACTTTTTTACTAATAAAGTCTTAATATTTTCCTTAAAACAACTTGAAGTATGACTTCAAAAGTTACCTCTATTCTTTTTCTTTTGTTTACAAACCTTTTTACTCAAAAACTTGACTCCTAGTAATCAAGAAAAGTCAAGTAACACCTTTGATACCAATGGCAAAAAAGTTTCTAAAGAAAGAAAAACTGATTGTAAAATATCTGAAGATCTATCTAACCTTTAAAGTAAGAGATTTATAGAGGTTTTCTGCAATAAAAAGGTTTATTTTCTCATTTTTTGATTGTTTTAACCCTTTTAGAGTTTCCACTTTCATAGTTTTTTGAGAAATTTTGCCTATCTCAGTTTGATTCTAAATTTTGAGTAGCACAAATCCTTACTAAAAGTGATTGGTTAATATGAAACACATTAGTTTTGGAATGTAAACAAGCTCTTATTGATCATATTCATGTATTCTGATAATATTATGAGTGATTGAAAAGAAAGTTTCAGAAATATTTATTCCAAAAGCTCAAGTTCCTTAATGAAAACTTCTATAACATCAAAAGAGCAAGGTATGAACAATGTAAATTGCAAGCTTTCATCTTTTACTTAAGTTTTTCAAGTGATGATAAAGTTTTAATAAAAAAAGCTAAGGTCTAAATGCTTTCCTTAAGATATTCCAATCCAGTATTCACTTAAATTAAAAACCAGTTGTATTGACTTGTATGATGTTACAGGTGATAAAAAAAAAATTTTTCTTCTGAGGTTCAAATAAAACAAAAAGACTATCACAATTAGGCAAATCCCTTTTGAGAAGTGATTGTTTTATTTTTGAATTTTTTTGGTAGGTTTTGAATTGTCTCCTTTCATCAATAATTTTCTTTTTTTTTTTTTTAATTTGACAATTCATTGGTTTTTGAACAATCAACAGTGACAAACTATTGACAATAATCTTGGTAGATAGAAATTATTACTATTTATTAGTGAAGTATAATATTGTTCTCAAAATTTGACTTAATATACTTATATATGAAGATGAATTATTCACTTTGTGAAAGTCTATAAATTATTGTATATTTGCTTTAATTTTTCAATAAAAACAAGCTATCATAGCATAATTGTGGATTAAAATAATAATAATAATAATAATAATTAATCAATTTACTAAAAAAACATTTTTGTTAAAACTTTTTAAAAAATGTATTCCATATATATTTATATTTTATTTTCTTCTATATTTAAATTTTATATATAAACTTGTTGCTTTGAAATTTGATAACTTTATTTTTCTTGATTCAGTTTTATTATATTCATTGATATTTTATATCTGATCAGGAAGTTTTTAATAAAGTTGATCGGTGTTTTGATATGAATTCTTAATTTGACAAGCTTCACAATATGAATTTACTTTAAAAGAAATTATAATCCTTTATGTTTGTTATTATTTTGTAGTTTATATTCTATATCAAATGATTATATAATTATTTTATTCTAGTTGAGTAAGATGTAACTAAATGATTATATAATTATCTTATCCTAGTTGAGTATTTTAATTGTTCCTAGGTTATATTTTTATCACAATAAAGTTTACACTGGTACAAGAATAAGCTGGCATTTAAAATATATACTATATATAGTCTATTATCTTTCATTTTTACATTTTTTCTATTTATTAATTATTCAAGATTATTTTTTAATGAATCAAGGAATCAACAAACTACTGTATATAGTTTTGTAATTTAGGAATTTTATGAAGTCGGATTTCAATTAGTAGCTTACCTTCTAATACTTCCAAAGGACTATTCTAATTTTGTAAATTTTTGCTTTGGAGCTTGATATACTTTTATTCGATTTGATCTTATAAATTGATTTCGGTATATACTGTAATTTGATTTAATTCTATATATTTTAATTCTAGAGACTCGAGATTTTATACAGTATATTAAAATTAAATTTAATTTTAGATAGAAAGGAACTACAGTATATGTACTTCCCACTCAATCATACAAGATCTCCTTCCGATCTATTCTCATTTTTATTAGCATCAATGTAAAAAGAATTCGTCCGTTCCTCTTTTCATGACGGATGATTTTTTTTTTGTTATTCCTGAGGATCAAATTTTAGATTTGTGTAACGTCAAATGGGTATGTATGAAGTCACGATGACAAGATATTTACAAAGCAATACGACAAATAATATCCAGTGATCCCGAATACTATGCAGTGTCATTATCAATCGGAGAATCGACTGGTATTCGGTATAATTACAAATGGCCATTGTGGATAATAATTTTTGCACCTCTAACCACGCGTTTCTTTTCCATAAGGTGACCCGGGCACTACGACGTGTAGAATTTCTATGGTGTCAAATGGACGAATATGTTTTCAGACCTTTACATTGACCACAATCATTTGCCCATTTCCCTTGATGATTCTCGACATTCTACATCTCTCGAGTTAACACCTGGGGTGCCTCAGTTTTGGTTATTCGTCATGGTCATCGATTTGTCCAAAATCAATTTAAGAAAGCATTTCAATATCTCAAACATGTGTGTAAATGCGCAGATTATATATGCATATTTATTATGGTTAAAGTGACAAGGAAGTACCCTGTTTTGGAAAAACCAACTCTAAATTCTATCAATTATCGAGCATACGTACTGGATACGGTGTGTGCAGTATATGCATATACGGTGTGTATGCTAATTCTGAAATGCACATAATCAAAATTTTTTATTAATTCTTTTACGGACCTCTTGGTAAGAAAAAGAAAAACCAATTTATGCTTAAATCAAACAGCTCCGAAAGACCGCACAATTCTGAAGATTGTTCCTAATTGTACTTCCATCTATGCACGCTTATACGCACACATATCTTCATTGAAATGGCCAGAGATGCACACAATCTATGCCGAATTCTTTTGGGGGACACTTGCAGAACTTTTTGTCGTGAACACCTTTGTGCTAAATTCACCGCCTCCTTTGCATCCAACGTTGCTGTGCATACATGTAATAAGAACAAATCTTTAATACAATCCTTCTTGCTGTGTCAACCATACCTTTTGATTGGGTGAAACTTCGAGACTTATTAAATTGGAAAGAGGGCATTCCTTGGCCAGCGATAACGCAACCAACCAAATTGGACCACACGAAAACCTCGTATCAAAGCGTTATCATGAAGACAAAGGGGCTGTGGTACCTCGCCTTATGGATTTATAATTGATCTAAAAGAACGAAAGGGTACGAGAGGATACGAAACGCACATACACGTACAGCATACGTAAAATCACGAGCATCTTCCAGAACAATTCGTGGGTCTAACCAACATCAGGCATGAAGCATTGCGCATACTGTAGATGACTCGCGCGGCATGTGTTGACGAGAGATAAAGATTGTTCGGTTTTATAAAAAGAGAAGACGGGGAAGATAAAATACAGGCTCACGCATACGCTAAACCCTACTGTGTTTGAAAGATGCACAAAATTTATTACGGGAGCATGAGGTTGAATCCTTTGCCACAGGGAAAAAAAAAAAAAAAAATATCAAATTTTTTTTTCGTTCACGATTGACGATGTGCGCACATTCTACATCTCGTAGCAAAGAAAAGATGCAACACTAGTAACATTCAATTAACTTTTCTTACACCAATTTGGACATATGACCGATTCACTTTATTTCCCAATACGATTTCGAATTGTACCCCCGCGCTTTTACACCAAAAAAAAACTGGCGAATGCCGAGATGCATCGGATTGACCTGGATATAGATGAAAATGGTGATGTCAATCCGAATCACGCCATTGCTTCCCCGGGCGCAGCAACGACCCGGGTGGTGCTAACAAAACTTCGCTCATTCATTTTTTTTTTTTTTAATACACGAGCAATTATCCGTAATAGTAGAATAATATGTAATTTATTTCTTGTTTGTTTGTGTTTGAAGTATGCGTGTAGGGAAGATGAGAAAACGATGTCTTTCACCGACTTATGTGAGCGAGTTCTGTGCATGAAATTTGTAAACAACACTGCGTGTTATCGTCGTTATGCAATAAACAATTCGACGCTATTCAAATGAAATCGAACACTTCTCCTCAGGACAAATTAACACCACATGGCTGCTACCTCGCAAATTCCTCGGGCTCACTCACTCTTTTCAATAAAATTCGTTGGAAAAATTTAGATGATGGAGGGGACTCGTGCGTGTCACCGGTGTTCCCTTTTGGGGACTATGGATTTCGAATTTCATGAAGAATCGTTACGGTTAGCGTTAATTCGACAAGTTACGATTTCGAATGAAACATTCGCCAGGAATCGCGTGAATATGCATGAATAAATGAAGAAATGATGAGGTTGTCGCACGAAGGTCATCTACGCTCCGTATGTTTATGTGGTACGTGATGTGCGATGGATAAAAAATTTTATCGGCCCCACTTTTTTCTTTTTTGCCAAAAAAAAAAAAAAAGAGATGATGAACCAAGAGGTCCGAGGTCACATTTATTAGTTTACCCTGAATAGCCCGATCGTAGTCTGCATCAACAATGGGCGCTAATAAACACTAATCCGCTTTAAGGAAGAAGGAAATAGTTTCCAATGGACTTCTTCGTAGCTAATATCGATAACATTGACCACCAAACAATAACCAGAACTGCACGCTGCTTTTACCCAACTCGTGACGAGATGTCAGGGCGAAGGGTTTTATAAATATGTATGTTAACACTCGAGAAATATCCGGACACATGTTTTTTTTTTACATTATTCTTTAATAGGAGATGTGATGGATTAAGAGGTCTGGTCTGTACATGCAATTGTTAAAAAAAAAAAAAAAATTTTTTTTACCATTATTTGATCTAGCATCGGTAAAGAACAAGGAAGTCATTGGTTTGAAGTGTTGTGAAAAGCGAAAAAAAAAAAAAAAAAAAAATGAATGAATGAAGATCTAGTGTAATAATAACAATAATAATAATCCTGAAGAGACGCTCCGTGAAAACGGGATAAATATGCTGCAATCGTAATATCTACAAACTTTGTTTCAGGAATGTATAGCACGTAACACACGCCCGAATGTTACCCATGCCATAGGTGCGACAAAGCATACTAAAATAATTAGATGAATATAACGTTGATGATGCATGCCTGAATGAGTGATGGATCAAGGGAATATTTGATGACAGTAAAATTCCACGATCGTTGTTTGTTAAAAATTAAGGGAATCTACTGGTGACCGATCGGTTCAATCAACGGGCGGTCGCAGAATGGAAATGCGTTTTGTGATGTTTCTCGGTTTTGTGGCATTTCTGATCCTCTATGTTAAAGGTCGATTCTTTCCTCGCTGCCTTCATGAGGGTGTGATAGAATTGTGTGGGTTGATTGGCCACGAAGATTAATTGCATCTGTGACTCGCCTGAAGTATTCCCGCTATTCAGAAGGACCAAGAAAAAATTACCCGTGCCAGCAATGATTAGTATCAAAGTCATGAAGAAGAATAGAGTAGGAAAATAGCGACGAAGAGGAGTATCGTAACAAACCTCGACGTCGACGATGAGCCGCTGAGCGAAACAAACAGCGCTATTAATATGAGTAATATGTTCTCAAAGATGTTATTTGCGACCTCCGATATTACGGTGTTGGAGTGTGATGTTGGTTTGGACATTTTCGAAATATTTCTCGTGTGCGGAATAAAAGAAATTTTTTGTTGAAGTGTATACAGGTATCTTGTAACTTTATATAAAGAAAATCGGAATAACCGTATATTATGTAAATTACTAATCTCCTTACTTTGATTGATACGTATAAATATAATATTACTGTGACTAATACATTGATAGAATAGAAAAGAAAAATAAATAAAATGTACGACCGAAAGGCAGTTTGATGTAAGGGGGGATGGAGGATGGACTACTCGAAACAACAAAGCGGGAAAAGGATGACCTTTTTATAATTTGTTAAGTTCCGTGATCTTAAAAAGAAAAATTTCTATTTATTGGCATATACTGTAATGGTAATTTTATTCTTTCAAAAATAAATTCTGTACACGTACTACCTACAGTATATACTGTATGTCCTGCGTATGTGACTGTAATAATTAAAATCCAATGTACTGTAAATAGCATAGCACTTTAAAAAAGAGCTGCAAAGGTTATTACTCTTTCAGGAAGATTTTGGCTTCTGATAATGCATGCGGGGATCCAAGTATGGGTTCATCAAAAAAAAAAAAAAAAAACGAAATTCTTAGTATGCTCACATTCAAGTCGGAAAAATAAATACATACGCACGTATAGGATGTCTAGAATTCTGCTGTGATTTCATTAAGGATTGCACGTATAAATAATACTTTTAAAATAATAATAATAATAATAATAGTAATGATAATAATAAATCAAAGGGTTTCTGAAGTTTCACACAACACTCACCATATTGAGCAACGATAAAGCAAAATCCTGCGCAGTTTCTGTCGTCGCAGATTTCCGGAGTATGTACTGTATGTATAGTACGCAGTGGGTTTCCTTTCGTCACGATTACGAAGAAATCAATGGGGACCCGAAACAGTAATGTATTTTGATCCGTGAAAGGAATATGTGTATGCAAGCGGCGAGTGATTCCTAATTTTCAAAGTTGATTTGTTTGATCTTTCATTGAATCCTCTGGTGAATTCCTCGACAACTCCGATTATAACTGCACCTTACCATTGATGTGAATGTAAAACGTGAAACATGGTTTGTGGCAATTTTTAGATTCACAAGGTTTTTTTGTATTACAGTACAGTACATTGGATACCACAAAACTTTATCTCGCCCAGCTTGTTTCACGAGAGGCTATCGTTTTCAAATACTCGTGCGTGACGAAATTATTTAATTAGATCACATCCTTCAATAGGATTTTCCCCTTTGGATTCCGTAACAATTAAGAGAACATGTTACACGAGCTAGTTTCTCTAACGCTTCAGCATTGGCGGGAAGGACGATCGTGAATGATATCATGCGTGCATAATTCGATACGTTAATATACAGTATATTCCGAGACTTATTATTTTAATTATTAGTTGTGCCTGAATACGTCACGACCGAGCCATGCTTTATGTTATTTTGCATGAGAATTGTGCTGCCACGCTTATGTGTTATATTCATCATTAACAGAGCTATCGGGTGCTCTTGTGGGACTAACCGGTGACTAATGAGCGAGCTCGATTTCTTTAATTTGTTTAAGAAGAATTGCCATTATTCGTTTTATTTGGAGAACTGAAGTTGCTCACGTTATTTTATGGTGAAGGCGATTCACACGCCAAGTCGTGCGCTCTTTTTTGAAGTTTCGTCTCGGTGCTCCCACCGAAAACCCGCGTGGCACGATCGTGTGATGTTTCGGCACATTACAGTACGTAATGCAATCATGTGGAAAAAAAATTTTTTTCCTTAAAACAGGTTTTTTTTTTTTGTCTTATTTATCCTGAATTAGATAAGTTTTAGGGAGCACGTAATAATAAGAAAAGTTGGCTTACAAATTTTCCAATTATCAAGAATCCGCAACAATTTTTCATAACGACGGGATGTTTATTGAAACAGTGAATGAAGAGTTTAGGGAAATTCGAAAGAGAGCCTGGCGTAGATTCCAACTAAACTCGCCTTCCGAACATCAATGATGTTCACCATTTGGCATCAAGATAAGTTCCAATCATTGGCTTCCCGCTCCTAACGCGCATCACATGTCAGTGATTTCATATTTGCACTGCTGTTTCTGGCCGTAATTCATTGAATCCTTGTCGTACGGACCGTTTCGCCCCGAAATTCTAGAAATACCCGTTTTGACAATGAGGATCCTTATCAGTGGATCTCCCAACTCAAACTTTCTTTTCCATCCAACCACCCGTGATGATGTAAGAGGTATTCCATACAAAGTGCACAAACCACCGATTCCACCAAATACACCATACACCGACCAATTATGGGGCCTGAATGATTGATCTCGACCAGCCGATTGCCGGATCGCATGGCATACAAAATTAATAAATGATAAAATTATGATAAGAAAAACTCAAAGATTTCATTTTGATTTCTTTTTTAAAACTTCCTCACCTAATTAAATTGGCCTAGGACCAATTTTAACTACTGTATAATTTGTCGTCTTGAAACGGTTATCTTGGCAACAAAATACACAACAAACAAAGAAAGTATTTGGTTTGAAAATTTAAATTAATCCAATAAATCTTTCCGTTTATCATTTGTATTTGTTGTATACGTATATTTCTTGATAAGAAATCTAAATTCTACATCTTAAGACTGTATAGCATTGAATGCTTATTTATTTATTAGAAAATTCGAAAATTTTAATTAATAAATGTAATAAATTCAATCATCCTCACTTGGTTATTCTACTGTAAAAAAATTTTATTATTATTATAAATGTTTTATCATAATAATTGAATTATTTAAATAAATCTTTATAAATTTTTGTACTGAATTATTTTTTAAATTATCAATAGATAAAATTCTTCTTACTAATTCTCTGATTTCACACAAAAAATATACATTTGATTTATAAAATCTGACTTAAAGTACTTTTGTATGAAGACGAGTTAGTCACTTTGTGAAAGTCTATAAAATATTGTAAATTTATTTTAAATTTTCAATAAAGATATGCCATTGTGGCATGATTGCAGGTTAAAAAAAAAAAAATGTTGTTAACCTCAATTAATAGTTATTTTTTTCTTTAATTATTATCTATAGTTCTTGTTTATTATATTACTTTAATTTTATTTTTAGATCATATAATATATGTGATGCAAGATGCATTTTATTGATTTATAGAGTAGATCTAATCATTAGAAATATCCAAGTAGACAGATTTGACATATCGATCTGATTTAACGAATCTAACAGATTTGATTACTTTGATTATTTTGATTACCAAATATTAATATTAATCATATATATAAAAGCAAGTTGTTCAAATCAATTAATCTAGGGTTTTACTTACCGAATTCTCTTATTCTTGATATTATATATCTTTAACAAACTTTCTAATTAAATCAAATTACTCAAAATATCTTTAAACATATTTGTGTAATCTCTATTATCTTTAAATTATCAACTTTAGTATATTATGATCAAGATATTCTTTTCAACTTAAAATGAATTACTACTATAGTTGTTATATCCATATATCTAATTTGAAAATTATTGAATAAGTTAACAAATTAATAATAACTATGGAATTTACTATTCTATAAACTATTTTTTAAAAACAATCAAGAAGCCTTGTTCAGTATTAAAAATATTCACTTGAGAAGTAATTAAGGAATCTAAAGTCTAGCAAAAGGTTTGAATTTTATTATATAAATAGTTTAAAAACATATTTATTACTAATAGTATATATAATATTTTTTATAAAACAAATTTTAACATTAAGGAAAATTGAACTTGAAATAATTACTACCTCTTCTACTATTAAATCCAAAAGGTTCAAAACTAAAGCTCAACTATCTATTGTTGATCAACTGCCCAATTATGATATCACTAATGATATTCTGAATCTTCTTATCAAAATCACTCTGGAACAAATATCATAATATCTCAATTAGTATAAAAACTTTAAAAATTCTCAAGCAATTTAAGATACCTATGAAAATCAATTATTTTATCTCTGATAATTAAAAAAAAATCATATTTGTCAAATATTATATTTGCATTAAAGAAAATCCTATGATGGCTATTCTTGACTCTAGTACTACTATCAGTATTATTACTGACAAACTTATAAGGAAACTTGGTTTGGAAATTAACACTAAGTCCAAAACCATTATAATTATTATTAATAGTATGTGAGTCAGAACTCTTGAACAAATAATCTTTTTGAAAATATTTATTTAGGATTTAATTATATTTATAACATTACCAGTAATTGAGTCATGTAAGAAAACTCTTCTTCTAGGAACTAATTAACTAGATCACATAAAGGCAAATTAGAATTTTGAGAACTGTACTCTTCAAATTACTTATAAGAATAAAACTATTGTCATAGAAACTATCTACTATATGAATATTCACCTATATCTCTCACAAAGTAGTGATAACTATGAAAATAATAAGGATGAACTCTTGAATAAAATTGAATATAAATTTAAAAATAATCATGAAAAACAAAAGGCCTACATATTTAATTTTGTTTTTAAAAACCCTATTATTTTTATCTTTGATTGTCTTGAGTCTAAAAAACCTACTTATGAACTATCTACTGGAATCTTGATTAAGGAACAACAAGCTAAGATTTATTAAATTCTATTTGACCATAAGAACATCTTTGTTAATCATATATTCAAGGAAGATCAAACAAGTAATCTGGAAAGGACTATAGTAATTACTTATAGTATTGATACTAAAAATATTCTTTCAATTAAATAGTGACTATATAAAGCCTCACTTGATTAACAGGAATTTATCAAAAAGGAAATTGAGGAAATGCTGCAATAAAAAATTATTAGTCCTATTACTAACTCCTGATCTTCTCCTGTTGTTATAATACCCAAGAAAAATAATAAATAGTACTTTTATATCAACTATAGGAAACTTAATGCAGTTACTGAAAAGGATGTCTATTCCATACTAATGTTGATAATCTTTTAGAAACCTTTAATAGTACTCAATGGTTTATCTTTCTTAA